CAATCAAATTACTTCGATTTTTCTTTTTCTTTTCTTTTTTTAAGGTTAGAATTAGGGGTTAATAACATCTGTATTGTTTTTTTTCATTTGTCTGTATTTAGTACAGATATGTCCAATTTTTCTGCTTTGGTTGTTCTTCAGTTTGGGTGCAATCATTTTTAAGTATGACAAATTTCATTTTTTATCTAACATTTCAAATTTTTGTGTAATCAGACTATTGCACTGTAAAAAAAAATAATATCGGATAGGTATGAAATGGGGAAAACTGGGACATTTGTTAGACTGCTTAAATTATAGGTCACAATTTGTATGCCTATAACGTAAACTGATGGTATAAATTCTACTGTACTATATCAACGCAAATTTTTATGTATAGGTACTTAAGATTACAAATTTTAGTTTATTACTTCATTGCTGGAATATGAATAAAATAAATCTAACTATGCCTTTAAGAAATCAGGTCGCTTTAAAAACTAAACTTTTTAAATAGTCGGGGAATCTCTTTCTGTCGTTAACTCATTTACTTATCTGGGTGTCCCAATTTCGTCCTCTCGTCACCAGAGGTGGTGGTAAAACCAAAAGCAATGTTGCCATCTCTTAAGACATGCATCCTCTGCAGTGCCAAGTCGGGCTCATGGGATTCAAGTCGCCAAAGTCATTAAAAAAATACAACTTTCTGATAAACTAAGTCTCACTATGCACCTCTGAAATTTGCGGTATTCCGTATTCAGGGGAGATTAAAAAGGTGCAACAAAACTTTTGCAAATTACTACTACTACTACTACTACCTTCCTTTCAGGACTCCTGGGTCATATGTTACATTAGGGGTAGGTCCACCACATGTAACTGCTTTGATATTAAAACGTATGATAACTTATGGCTATAACTTTTCCCACTTCGTGATGATTATCCAGAAACTGTGCTATTTTAGACTAATCCATTTTATAGATAGCACAAATATTATCCCCGTTAACTGGTGTCGGGTCCCGAGGGACTTTTGACTACCATCGGAGCAGAAAATTTTTGGGAAATAACAATTATTAAAAAAAACCTTTCAAATCATTATGGAAAAATTTAGCGTTCACTATTTATCTCTGGATGTGAAAAGAGCCCTAGAAAGCACTTTTAATAGTTATTTCAGGAAATTAAATCCCAATATTTGATTGATGGCTCAACTTCGACTTATAAATGAAGTCTCCCACACTACCCTAGTAAAGTAAAAATGCAATTTTATCCCGCAAAAAAGTCCCCTACATGTTTTTTTTTTGAAGACGCGCAGGATAATATAGCACATTTTTTTCCATTTTTACCATTGCCATTGCTATTCTCGATACGTGGATCAATATATGGACAGGCAAAGAAGCATTACATCCTTCCTTGGGGCAACGAGTGAACAACAAATAAAACATATTTTTGTTTTTAAATCAGACATAGAACCAAATAAATTCCTTACTTAGTATTTTAAATTTGTCCTAAATGTATAAAAAGTGTGATATCAATTGCGATATGATTTTCAAATTTGCCTTAATACTTGCGAAACTTATCATATTAGCCATAGATAAATATTTCGTTATGTTCCTTTCCTGATAAAGACGGTTAGTTGAAGATATTTTATATCCTAAGGGCTTATATTACTTTATTGTAGGGAAAAAGTTGTAGTCGGCAATTCTAAATTCTAATTATAAATATAATGGTTTTCAATAAATAAATAATTAGCACTTTTTTTTTATAAATTATCATCATAGATTATTTCAGAAATGTAACATAAACACACATTATAAATAAACAAAAGAACTTGTTCTCACAAACAAAACCAGGTTGTCCAATTAATCACATAATTTACGAGAAGCGTTAAAAGTTAAAATAAAATCAATTTTAAATATAGAAATAAAAAACATCTTTATGGACTTTTGAAAAACTCCAAAAATAATGAATGAGCCTAAAGGACAATTAAGGACAATTTTTTCAGCCTCGTAATACAATCGTACATATTCAACCAACAAAAATTTAGTGAACAGTATTTAAAAAAATTGAAATTTTGAACAAAAAATTCTTAAAACTAAACAAGTACAACACATACTACCTCTAGAATAAATTTGTAAAAAATCTTACTATTTAACTAACTAAACGTAATGAATTGAACAATATATTAAGTTTGGATCCCTCGTACAATTTGCCATATAAAAATGGTAACTTTCCAACCAAAGATTTAATTACCGACGTTGAAATGATAATGATATAGATGTTAAGTTGTTTTGTTAATGCTATATATCCTATATATCCAACTTACTCTGTGATATTTTTGTAAAAAAAGTACTGTTTATTAATTAAAAGCCATTATAAACTGCGTAAAAATGAATAGGGATATTTGTAATTTATTATATTCTATAAATTTTAATTAAATTAACCGATATATTCTTGTTAGTTGGATAAAACAAAAAAATTATTACTCCTCATTTTTAATAACGAATTTACTTAAGAATTGTGGAAAATCACAACTTTTACGTAACTTTTTGACCCGAAACACTCACACAACACGACACCACAAGAATAGCACCACACTTGTGCCCTGAAGATGTCTCGAATAAAGGTCAAAACGTCGGCAAAAAAAATGAAAAAGGTCACGACTTCAACAAATTATGACAGAACAGGCCACTGAGAAACACACATTTCTATTATCAATATGAAATTCCCTAATAAATGCTAATTATGTGAATAAAAAAGTGCAAAGGAGAAAAGCAAGACCTAGGGTGAAAAGTGATAAGTAACGCAAAATAACAAAAATGAAAAAGGTGTTTTTCTTAACTACCTCATTCTTGACCGCTCCTCACGACTTCAACAAATTACTTAAAAAAATAGTAAACCGGAAGATTACTCATTTTGTAAACAAACAGCTTTTCTCCATTTTGATCCAGTTCTCTTTACCCATGGAAGGTACATCATCTTGAATCAAAAGTTCGCAATATTGCTGTGCGATTGGAGGTTGTTTTTGGTTTGAATTTACTATTTTATGTTATCCAACTAACAAGAATATATCGGTTAATTTAATTAAAATTAATAGAACAGGAAGAAATTATAAATATCCCTATTCATTTTTGCGGAGTTCATTTAAAATAAAAAAAAGAAGAGATGGTAAAAAATAGACGTCGATAAAAGTTTTATAGACGTTGATAAAAGAAAACAATATTTAAATATTGGACGCTGAGAATCTAGCGCCGAGGAAGGTGAAATAAAACACCGAAAGCTTGGCATAGTTTCAATACACAACATTCATTGGACCACATCCCGATCCCACCAAATATATTGTGAATAGTAGCTGGTCGATCACCTTTACATCATTAAATTACAGATGCAAGACGGACATATCTTTTAAAATATAATATGGATAATAATCAATTATAATAAAATATAAGGTAAGCTTTTTAATAAAATGTTGAAAAATATAACTATCTTTTTATACTTATGTCTTTTTATATAAAAAATATAGATGTTGACATCCATCATAAGGATCCATATTTTTTATATAAAAAGACATAAATATAACAATGATAATCACATTTTATCAAAAAGCTTACCTTATACAGTATGTAATTGTAAATAAGTAATGTATTTACTTTTTTATTTAAAGCCCCACATGGAAAGGTTTTCTAATATAAACCAAAAAATATTTAATAAAAATAAGTAAATAAAAAATTGTAAGACACTAACCTTATTTGTAAGCCATTTGTGTTTAGTGGTCTAATTGACGTAATTACTTATTTCAATTAGTTATTCCTTTTATGTAAGGTCTTGGTTGAGATGAAAAAGCTAGTGTCACGAGTAAGATTCGAACCCACGACCTTCGGCTATCACACGACATTTGAAAAATGGCAAAAAGAGGGAAAATTCTAAAGGTTATAGGTTGAGATGGGAGTTGGTGTCCGAGTGGATCGAAGTCACGATAGCTCAAGTAACACATAACTAATTTAGAGCAGCGGCGTATGTAGCCGAAGGTCGTGGGTTCGAATCCAACCGTGACACTAGTTTTTTCATCTCAACCAAGACCTTACATAAAAAGAATAATTAATTGAAATACTTATTTGTAAGATTCGAATTTCTATACAAACATTTATTCACGCAAATCTAAGTTACCTTATGTACTATATTTAAATTTCATTAAACTCCAATATATCCCTGGATATTGGTAAAGCAGGAAAATTATTGGTCTAAATTTAGACTACATTCTCTGTTTTTTTCTTCCTAAATTCAATATTTATTTAATGTATCAAGAATGGTTGGGAAATAGCTTTAGGCCATATATATTTTGAAACACGTTTTTCTCCTGAAGGTGTCCTTCTATTCTTCTACTTTTGACACGGTCTGAACAATGCACTGTTGCAACATCCTTTAAATAAATTTAATCCATTCTCGATAATCTTTGTTTTGATTTATATTACATAACGCGGATATCCCTTTGAACAAAATGCTTCCGTATTGTTATTTCCACCCGATAAAATCCCTGAGGCATGAGTCATTGGATTTTTGCAGATACGATGACACGACGAAAAAATATGAACCCGGCATAATCTCGTAAACTCGGCATAAGAAAAAACAGAATGAAATTTGTTTTAAAAGCATTTTTGGATCGTTTTAATGATACATTGTTTTAATTTTAAGAAAAAGTTTTTTTGATTGTACTTGATTCATTTTCGCAGCTAGCCTTAGGACGTTGGCCTTACAATGAATTGTAAATACAACTCAGCAGTTGTTCAATTGTCTAACTTCCGAAGTGAAACGAGCCAAAAAGAGAAATCGGGTTAAACGTTTTTAGATTAAGTGTCCGCTTTGTGCGCGGAAAAATTCCCAGACTGAAATTTTCCTAACTGAGTGTTACAAGGACCAGGAATGAGCACACGCCCTTTTTTCCTTATACGTTCAGCACTGCCGCCGAAAGATTTCTTTTTTTCTTTTTATATTTATCTTTGTTTTTTATCCGTTTTCACGAGGGATTTCTGTTTCAGAATTTCTTCCGTTTGCACCGCCTGAGGAAGTTAGGACTGAGCGATAATGAAATACAACGGCTTCCACCGGACATACAGAATTTCGAAAGCCTCGTCGAACTCGACGTGTCCCGCAATGGTAAGTCGAATCTGTTTTATATACTATTTATAAATAGGTCTGCGGATCCTCCCGAGTATTGCCTTGCTACGCGTTTAGCACAGTTTTGTTATGCAACGTCCTAGTCCTTGAAACGTCCCCCTCTACGATCATATTTATTAACACCTGAGTCATAACATTTTGCCAAATCCGAATTGTTTTTTTGAGAGAGAAAGAGAATATCAAATACAGTCGAAGGCGTGTTCTTTCTGCTCCTTTATAAATTTCAATAATTCGAACAGCCGTCCGCAAGACCATTTAACAGGACGTTGTAGATGTTTAATAAATCTTCTCAACTGCTATCCCATAAATCTTCGAAGCGTTTATTATAAATTTTCTTTTTCCCTTGATAAGTACACATATAATTTATTGTCATTTATGTGATAATTTTTAATGTTTATTCTTTTTTCCCTTATTTATTTTTGGTGCGTGTCAATTTCGTATTTACGGTTTATGTTTAATAATTAATAATGCAGTTATACCGCTAATATCCATGTAAATATATAAAACAGTAATATTTACAATCTTTTTTGTTTTTGTTGGTATCTTCATCATATAGAGCTTTATTTTCAGAAAAATCAATATAGACTATATTCAGTTTAACTGTTAGGCTAAAATTATTGATAAATTTACTAGTAGTTTTCCGAAAAATAGTGCATAAAATAGCAATAGAATGGCAATTTTTTGCCATTTTGCAAATATACTCAAAAAAACAAAAACCGGACACTCATTTTGTTGTTTATTTCAAACTATTGTTATCATTATATCAATTACAACTTATTTATTTTAATGTACGCCAAAAGGGGACCAAAAATTAATGTGTTAAAAAAAAAATATATATATATATATAAATTAATTTCACGTGGTTTTGTTTTTAAAAGCAAATTCATTACTTACACATTTATTTGGCCTTTGGAAAATTACAGACTTCATCAGCATCTTTAAAAAAAATTTAAGATAGTTCATAATTAGTATCTTGCTTAGTATTTGAAATATTCGTGTCCTATCCGTATTCCATTATCCTGGAGAGTTAGATCAAAACTTCATGGCCCATGAAGCACTAGAAAAAAAATAGGAATTTTGCAAATCTCGGGGTTTTCACAAAAAAGTTACAATAAAAATTTATATGTAGGCGATATAGCGATTTCAAGGAAATATAAAGAAAAATAAAGTTTTCGAATTTTCCAAAAACAATATTAGCAAATAGTTTTTTGCTAATAACTATAGAACGGTTGCTCCATGTTAAAAACCGTTTGCACCATTGAAATCAGCGTCAAAAGTCCTGGAGAGTTAGATCAAGTTTTTTTGGCTCATGAGGCACTAGACAAAAAATCAGAATTTTACAAATCTCGGGGTTTTCATAAAAATGCCCCATTATGAATATCACGACCTCAAGGAAATATAAAGAAAAATAAAGTTTTCGATTTTTCCAAAAACAATATTAGCAAATAGTTGTTTGCTAATAACTATAGAACGGTTGCTCCATATTAAAAACCGTTTGCACCATTGAATTCAGCGTCAAAAATCCTGGAGAGTTAGATCAAAATTTTTTGGCTCATGAGACACTAGACAAAAGAAAATCAGGATTTTGCAGATCTCGTGGGTTTTCACAAAAATGCCCCAGTAAAAAAATATAGACGATACAGCGATCTCAAGAAAATATGAAGAAAATAAAGTTTTCGCTTTTTCCAAAACCACTATTAGCAAATAGGTTTTTTCTAATAACTGTAGAACGGTTGCTTCATATCAAAAACCGTTTGTACCATTGAATTCAGCGTCAAAAATCCTGGAGAGTTAGATCAAAATTGTTTGTGTATTTACGTATCTTGCGTTTTTCACAAAATGCCCCAATTTAAAAAAGATACATGTAGGTGGAACTGAGTTAAACTTTCCCTGTATTTATATCATACGCGATCTCAAGGAAATGTAAAGAAAAATAAAGTTTTCGATTTTTCCGAAAACATAATATCAGAACACACGTAAATTAATCAAGACACCATCGTTATTTACAAGTTTTTCTTTAAAACAAAGGGTCACCCTCACCCTATTAACGATAGGCGGTGCGAGGATGACACACTTTTGACACTCACTTTTGGGCCAATGCTCACATATACGTCATAATTGAAGAGTACAATTCTTGGCTCTGTATAGAGAGCGGGTTTTTACCGTAGGCGGTCTTCTCTAGGGGGTGGTTGGCAGTTCCACTTTAAACAAAACCGCGGCCGGAGCGGATCCGGTACTTTCTTCGCTAGGGAAGCCCCACTACTCTGGGAGGTAGCGTGGCGTCTCTACTTAGGGAGTGCGCGGGACACCAGGCTGATGTATTTCGGCTTAGGTAGCCCTTTACGAGCAACATACGGTTCCATGCTTAATGCGGACCCGAGCACTCGTAGAGCGGGTTGTCTTGGCCCCTCGGGGCTGAGCTGCTTCTACACCAACGCTGCGGCAGTACACCCTTCTGTCGTATGTGGAGGTGCGTCAGCTCTCATCTTGAGAACCAAAACGTCCGATAAGGCCGATTAGGCTAGGTGCGCTCCTCATGTCCTTTTTAGGACGACCGAGTATACGGGAAGCAATGTATAGAGAGCGGGTATGAATGCCACCCGACTGCGGGAAAGGATAAACTCAACTCTGTACATGAGGAAATTTATTTCTGTGTGTGTATTAAACAGAAATTCTTGTATTAAACATCTTTTCCATTTGCATATTGTTAACTTTTCTTGTTGTGACTGTTATTCAAACAAAATTTCGGATTTTAAATTGTTATTTTCGGCCGATTGCTGTAAACATCGATAGTCAGAAAAGGATCAATTTAGCCACGAGCATTTCTGTTGCGATATGTGCCAATTGTAAGGACGAATGGCCTCCAGTCTTATAATAGGCGTCATTAAAAAATATATATTCGTTTAATCGCGGTGCTAGTGTTACCGAGAATACCAAATTTATCGAAGGAGAATGCTAATTTTCTTCGATTTTATCCAAAAGGTTCAATAATTTTAAAAGAGATTTGATCAAGGTTTCAGTTTGAATAATTGATTAGATTGAATATCTAAAGCTTTATTCTTGATTCTTTGAAAAGTTATATTATCTTTGCATGTAATAATTTTCAAAATTTTTTCCGTAGATATTTTCTTTGATCTGACCCAGCAGGTTATTTTTCCCTCTATTGAATAATGCCTATATTTGATCATTTTTGATTTAACTTTTTATTCAAATTTTATTAAACAATAATATAGCGTATGTTCTATTAAAATTGAACGCCATTTCAATTTTCTAGTTTATAGATATAAAACCAAATACTGCTTGATTTTTCATTGACCGCTAAATAGTTAATAGGGAGGAATTTTCATGGACGGCTAGTGATAGACTTAACGAGACCTCTATTCTTTTTTTTTTCTTTTTTACATAGAACCAAAAGGTCATGTATAAATGCAGGATTTGATGAGACTCAAAGTACGTCATGACTCATGCATCCTCCTCTATTCATCACTGATCGCATTCATGAGATTCTGTGCGGGAGAGGCCTTCGAACAAGTTGTCATTCGTATTACTTAAGTCTTTAGTTTTTTTGCTTAAATTTTCTGCCTTAAGGATAGATAATAAAGAATGATCGCCTGGTAAAAATAAATAAAAGCTCGATCCATATAAGGGTTTGACTTTGTTGTGAAACTCAACGCCCACTAATAATTCTGACGGTTTCAAAGTCGAAACTTAGCCTTTGACAAGGCGAAAAAAATCTATATCGAGTTGTCTGTTTAGTCGTTTGTTCTATCCTGGTCTTTATTATTGATCTACACCACATGGTATAAATGTCCAGAACATTTCGTGAGATAGCTTTGATATCAGATGGGACCTTATCCCGTCCTTATCTCAGGCCTCTAAAGGATATGGAGAAGCTTCGACCTGACTTTAAGCTTCGGCAATGAACACGCTTCGCTCTAGTTGTGAGATAATTCGTTCAGCCTTGACACTAATTCTCCTTTACTAACTTAAAGTTAAGGAACGGCACACGCATTGAGCCAATTTAGCAATATGGAAACCATGCAAGCACCGCATCCAGAGTCTAATTACATTCGTATTACGTTTGAATCCGAGACCCTTCAATGATTTGTCTGGAAAAAAGCATGACTTAAACAAACCATTGTCTTAAATGAAGCGATCTTCAGAAAAATACCTCGATATACCTTGATAGAAAATGTGCGTTTATAATTTTTTTTGCAAAACAAACTACTGTTTCAGTTTTATTATAAAACAGTGGCGTTAAAATGAGGGAAGTAAAGAAAAAATTAACCAGTTTTTAATTTGTCGCTATAACGCAGAAACGGAGAGGGGGATATGGCCCCAGTTTCATCTTGTTTCCTGTGTCGCTTCCAATGGATGTCAGGGACATTCGGGAAAATAACATTTTAAAACAATGGTCCGTCGAGTAGAAACATATCGTTTGTTCCTGGCTGTTGATATTTTAAATTTTCGAACTCTTTTAGCCTTATTCGTACCAGTAGAAACGCTGACCCACATTTTTGTGAATAACCGTTGTGAATAAATTTCGTACATAGAGAGTACAAACTAGTGACTCGAATGCCAAATGCGGCATTACGTACGATTTTTAAAGGGACAGTTTTTTAAATAGAAAGAATTTTTAACAATTACAAGAAAATAAATTGTGCCTATTAAGGTAAAGTTGAAGGTATTTAATACAATATGGCCGCATGGGAGCATTCTTGGTCCCATCCTTTTTATCATTTATACTGCTGACTTGCATACACCAATACATCACCACCTACCCAGTTTTATCCCCTAACTCGAATCGTATCCTAAGCTAACTCCAACATCTAATAATACCTTGGGCCTATCGAAGAAGGCTGATGTAAAAATTGGAGGAGAAAAATCACGTTCTCCAAAAGGCGGAACAGGGTACTCAGAAACTCTCTACTATGCCCGCAAATCATTCTTAAATTCGGCGGCATGCTTACATATTTTTAATATTATTATTTTATTTAAGTCTTATTTTTATTTTCAACAACCTCCGTGAGACGGATATTGTCTGAGCCGCACATACTTCTGGAAAAATGTTGTAAACAATAATCTTAGTTTTAAAATAAAATTTGCTATTATTATTGTTATGTAAGGCATTGGTTGAAATGAAAAAGTTAATGTCACGAGCTGGCCAAATACGCCGCTTCTCTACCACTGAGCTATTGTGACTTCGATCCACTTGGATAGGTTGAAGTGGTTAGTTGGTGCCCAAGTGGAGCTGAGTTGTGCTAGGTTCAACTAAAGCATTAATCTTTATGTAAGGTATTGGTCGAGATAAAAAAGTCATTGTCACGAGCGGGATTCGAACCTACGACCTCCGGCTAAATACGCCGCTCTTCAACCACTTGACCTATCGTGACAGTGGTTAGAGCAGCGGCATATTTAGCCGAAGATCGTGGGTTCGAATCCCGCTCGTGACACTAACTTTTTCATTTCAATCAATACCTTACATAAAGATTAATTAATTGAAAGAAGTCAGTCGGACCACGAAATATAATGGATTATTATTATTTAAACAAAGGAAAGGTTTTTGGTGACATAACATTAATCTTTTTGACCGAACATCTAACGCATATTTTAAATGAACAATCCCATTGTTCATGCTTTTATCAAAAAGTTTTAATTTCGATTAAAACTAGGAAGGGGGATAACGAAATTAACTAGCCGTGGTGAACTTTGAACGACGATTAATTGAGCTTATCGTGCTATTGATTGCTTCGTGAGTGAGTGTTGTCAGTTTGTGTGAGTTTAACAAATTAATATTTCATCTCGGTTGTAGTCTAACGTAATCACACGTTTACAAATTTAATTGCAAGCAAACCGAAAGAGAAAACGTTGAAGTGTATAAGTAATAAGCATGTTAATTACTAACTATACAATCAAGGGTTTTATATATCAGCGGTTTTAATTTTTTTGTAGTAGTAGGTGTAGGACGGTTGTAGGTCAGACCACTTTATTATACTTTCTCCAACTATGGTATCATAGTTTATCATAGAAAATTGTGGGGAATCGTACCCAGGGTCGCTGTGACAAATACAACAATTGGGCGGTCTAATGACCTCGGCCACCATATTAATGCATAAAATGTACGTCAGTTTCATAATTGAAAAAAAAAAAATGTATAAATATCAACGGGTAGAGATGAATCATCTGTTCTTAAATTGTATGTTTTTTTGCTATGAATTTTATTATAATTCCCAGATGAATATTAGAATGCTGACTAAGCATGTTTGTAGGCCCGGGGTTTTGTAAGTCGATGGCACGCTGTTCTTGTTGATTGTCGATTTAAAGAAATACTCGTTGGATGCTAAAGCAGTGAAGATGGCAGGAGTCGCTTGGTTGCATTCCGGTTTATACCCGAGGACGCCCCATATCTCGTCACCGCAAATTAGAGGAGTTCCAAACTCTTCCATGCAGAGAGTATCCATCCTTGTTTTCGGTTTGACACATACGTTTTCGCCCTGGTCGGGAAAACAGAATGATCGGTCCACGGTACAGCTCACGCCTTTACAGGCGTCGTGGTCCACGATCTTGACCTGTTTGTTTTTCAGCTCGACGATTTCACCGTTTTTCACCGAATTGGGCGAACCTAGCCACCCCACTATAGAGCAATCATTCGCCCTGAGTCTGATCCTCAAGCTGGCTTTGATCTCGTACGGGTCTAAAGAAGGAAACGGCGCTATCTGGACATGTTCGGTAATCAAAAAAGGTTCCGTCGTTTCAATAAACGCCAAGTTGTGAACCCAAACGAGGTTATTGAATTTGGTGCAGTTCGGGTGGATGTGATACTTGGAAACGCCCCTTAGCTGGTAATTTCCTACAAACTGATTTATGGCCTTGCTTCCGGCGACGAGTTTTATACTACCCTTGCTCTTTGTGTATATTTTCTGTTCGTACTTACCCCATTCACAGACGCAGTTGCACGCGGTCAATACTAGGTCACTTCTAGCCAATGTTCCGAAACAGTAACAGTTATCCGAATATACTTGATACATACTGACGACATAGGTTAAATTATTTGATAGGCGTAACTTTCGCTTTGCTCTCAGCTCAAGACCGTCCGTATCCCACGGGCGCAATATAATAAAAAAAACTATAAAAATACTGTTTGAACTTTTGTTTTTTAGATTAAACCCCATTCCCCTTTTAATGTCTAACATGTTTGAAATATATTCATTGGAGTGAAATAGATTCATTCGTATCATCTGTTTCGGATAGATACCGCTGAGTTGTTTGAAATAAAATAGTACAGTGTAATAAATTTTAATTTGAACAAATTGTTAGCTAGTTATCGAAGATAGAGTAGACAGACGTTAACCATCATTGCTAATGCACAAATGTACGTTACAGCGGCTCGGTTTAAGGCGCTTTTAAAAAATCCCATATTTGCTAAAATGACCGAATATAAACTAGGCCTGCCCGATCCGCAGTTTGGCCGGTATCCTTCTACACCCCATAAATAACCGTAACAAATAAGAGGACTGCCCAAGTCTCCGGTGCATATCTCGTCCGATTTGTTCTTCTCTTTGCCGCAGACGTATTCTAAGCCGTTCGGCAAGCAGAGTTCGGCGTCTTTATCGCAACTGATGTTGATGCAGTCTTTGTACTTCATAATGTTGACTTGAAATAGAGTCAGTTCGGTTCGATTCGATTCCGCCCACGACCAACCGACAGTGATGCACCCTTGGACATTGATGAGTTCGGATAACGCCGTTAGAAGGACTTTGGTCTCGTGTGAAAAGATCGGCACTGCAGAGACGTATTCGTTAAACCCAAAAGGATGCGAGGGTATCGCGAATGCTAAATTCGATGTCCAAGTGCTTTCGCTTAATTTACTACACTGCGGATGCATTTGAAATTGTGCCACCGTTCTCATCTGGTGTTTAACACCACTAGGATTTAAATACTTACTTCCTGCGATGATATTAATAGATTCCGTGTTAATTGCCACTGCCCTCTTTAAGTTGTTACTCCACTGCGCCACGCAGTTACACGATGTGAAAATCCTCGTGCTGGTCACTATAGATCCCGAACAAAAATGTTTACCGGATTTCTGAAAACTTACAATGTATTGATACTCTCCTATTTCGTACTCATAGTCGTTAAGACTTTCTTCCTGGCAAACGACCGTCCGAATACCCGACACGACGAGTAAAATAGCTAATAACTTTTCAGTCATTGAGTCAATATTAATCAAAAATCACATGCTATATTAAATAAAAATAGAACTTTTTACTTTTTGGTTTTTATTTATTTTAATAACAATAGCTTCTAATTCACGATGGGCAAAGTTTCGGAAGCGTGGGTTTAATTGTGGTTAGATGGAGGAGGGGAACGTGGAATGCGGTCCGTTAGATCTGGTTCATTCAACTCTGCCCGTACCCTCCAAGGACAGGATCAACTCAATAACAAATGCATCAGCCAAATATAGATGAAATATTAACATTCTCCCTCCCCAAAAAAAGATCTACAACTATCTCCGTTCTGGCGCAAGCAGATCTTAAAGAAGGCAAAAGGGGAGAACAACCAATTTGATAGAAAGGGATGTTCAACTATTAAGAATAATTTATGTCAAATTTTACACATAGAATAATAGTTTTGGTTGAAAAACAAGCAAGAAATGTAGCAATCTATTGGGTTGTCCGGAAAATAATGCAGGATTTTGGTATTAAACAAAAAAAAAGAAACTAGTTACTTTAAAGCAATGTTCTTTAATCAAAATAATTTCCCATACTCTCAATACATTTCTCCCAACGTGTTGGTAACTTATTAATTCCGTCTGAGTAGAATTCAGAATTTTTAGAATTGATAAAGTCAATAAATGCATTTTCCAGTTCCGTTTGATTTTTGAATATTATGTGTTGTAAGTAGTGGTCCAGGTGTCTAAAAAAATGGTAGTCAGTAGGCGAGAGGTCCGGAGAGTAGGGTGGGTGAGGCAAAGTTTCATAGCCAAGCTCCAATAATTTTTGTGACGTTACACGTGACACATGTGGTCGAGCGTTGTCATGCAACAAAATGGGCCCTTTCCGATTGACCAAAGAGGGCTTCATTACTGCCAATTTCTGATGCATGGTATTAATTTGGTTACAGTATGATTCAGCATTGATGGTTTCGCCAGGATTTAAGAAGCTGTAGTGTATTAAACCAAATGAAGCCCACCATACCGTAACCATTACCTTTTTTTGATGAGTTGGGGGCTTTGGAAAATGTATTGGAGCTTCTCCTTTGTCGAGCCACTGTCCAGAACGTCTAGTGTTATCGTAGAGAATCCACTTTTCGTCACATGTAACAATTCTGGCCAGAAATGGGTCATTTTTGTTTCGACAAAGAAGTGATGCACAAACATCAAAGCGCTGATTTTTTTGGCGATCGTTTAATGAGTGTGGAACCCAATTTTCGAGTTTTTTCACTTTTCCAATCGCCTTGAGGTGGTCAGCGACGGTCGTTTTACTGACTTTGAGTTGCTCTGCAAGTTCTCGAACAGTTGTTTTGGGGTTTTCTTCCACCACTGATCGCAGAACATCATCATTAAGAGAGGAAGGCCTTCCACGACCTTCTTCATCTTCAAGGCTGAAATCTCCCTCCCGAAATTTTTTAAACCACCTTTGCACAGTGCACTCATTAACACAACCCTCGCCCCAGACTTGGTTAATGTTTCTAGCCGTTTGGGCTCCGCTTCGGCCGAGTTTAAACTCGTAAAAGAAAATCGTACGAAATTCTCGCTTTGACATTATAAGGATGACTGAATTATTTCCAAGTAGCGGAATGCTACAGAGGTAAACAAACAATATCATTTGGAAGAGGATTAATAAGTGTTGACATTCATACAAATGAGTAATCCTGTAAACGTAAACAGAATATTTTATATAGATTTTTTTTAATGAAAACTTAAAATCCTGCATTATTTTCCGGACAACCCGATATTTGAACCGTTGAAATTAATTATATTACTATATCGATTTGATCATATCAGATAAATGATGTATTATTATTCTAACAAGGAGAGGCTATGTTCATGGAGTCATCAAATGTAATGATACATTTTTAGAGTTACTAGATAGAAAAATATGAGACAAGTGTCCTAGTTGAACCATCCAGTGGTCCCCAGGAGCCAAGAAATAAAATATTGTAGTAGGAAAAGTGCTAAAAATTGCGTCCACAAAGCTACCACTGTTCACACCTCTCTCAATTTGAATTAAATGGATGTTAGTGCATCGAAAAATATTACACATGTATATAATAATCATTATTATTATAAAGGAAATTTCAGATGAAAACCATGACCTATGGCACCTTACAAATTTTATAATAGTAATGAAAATTATAAATATAAGCGTCACCAGTTCAAAGAGGGAAAAATCGGAAAAACCATCACTGATAAAATTTACAAAAACTTTTGCGGAGTGCTTACAAACATTAAAATTTTTATCATTAACTTAATTGATCTTCCAACACAATTTTTGACTTGGATCATGAAAAGTTTTTAAAACTATTCATTTTAGTTACCTACGCAAGGAAAGTAGATGCATTATTTAACAAATAAATAGGTTCGATCTTTAACAAAAAATATATGTTTAAGACTTTTATGTTTATATTTCTTATAATTTAAGTCTCTGAGCTCATAATTTACAATATTTTTTATGTAATCTATCGAACTTTTCGGAGACAAAGCTCAAGGTTTAGTTAAAAACGTGGGTTTTTATACTGGGAATAAGTAATGCGCAATGCATGTAGTCTATTCGCGTCCATCCGATAATCCTTAGCGCTGTTTTGAACGGTCTGCATATATTTGTAATCGGTAGCACATGTGTTCGACCAGACTGGGGCAGCATATGTAAGAATAGACCTTATATAACGATTAAAGATGAGCTTTTAATTTAGCTTAACTTCGAAGTTTTATTAAAAATAGGAAACAAGCTTTGTATAACCCTTGTTTTCGAACATTTCATAGTAATGTGGTAAATGAAGTTAAGTTTTTGGTCGAGATAGACTCCCAGATACTTGACATTCTTGGCCAAGGGTAGAGGATTGGTATTGATTTTGACAAAATTATTAATATCAGGTCTCCTTCTGGTAAAAAGTATAGCTTTGGTTTTAACTTTATTTGGACGGATTTTCCATAACTGAAACATTTACTTGCTGCTTCCTCATATCTTAAGCTATGGGGTCAATTCTGTAGGAGTATTTTATGAATGCCGTATCATCACCGAATAGTGCAAGTTCAACTTTATTTTTAATTTTACAAATGTCCGCACTGAATGAGTTAAAAAGTGTAGGGCCGAGGACGGAACCTTGTGGAACATCAGCTGTAATTTTTTTCATACTTGAATTTGATTGACATTGATATAAAAATACCTATTTTCTAAGTAGTTGCCTACGAGATTTATGATAAATTTAGGAAAGCTCTTTAGTTGTAATTTATAGAGCAGCCCCCTGTGCCAAACGCCAAAGCTTTTTCAACATCAATTACGACCATACCAACATGTTTGTTCTTATTAAAGCTGTCAAAGATCATGTCAGTGATTCTAGCAAGTTGTAAAACTGTAGAATGGTTTTCCGTGAAGCAAAATTGGCAGGGGGGGGTTTGCGTTTGAAAATTGCAAAAGTATTGTTAGGATTATTTTTTCGGCTATCTTCGATAGAATATTTAGCAATGAGATTGGACGATAATTAGATGAATCAGTATGATCTTTCCCTGGTTAAAATACCACCAGTAATTTTGGTAGTAATATTTTTAGCTGCTTTCCATAATTTTGGGAAGTGTGCAAGCATAAACATAATATGGTTTAAAATAATAGTTAAGTATAAGATGGCTTTTCTGGGAAGATTTTTAATTAGGGTAGGCATAATTGCACCTCCCCAGGATCTTTACTAATTTTTAATTTGTTCGTGACAAATCTGACTTCCCTGATTGATGTCAGCTGGAAGTTTGTATATTTGTAATCTGGGGGTCGGCTATATTTTTTGGTTTCTCGAAGTACCTTTTTTTGTGAAGGAGAGGACACTTTACCTTTCATTCATTTGGTGTACTTACTTGTTCAAAGTTATTTTTTGCATTGTATAAATTCATTTTTTTCCACATCCAACATGTATTTGTTAAAGTTAAACAATGTTTGTACATCCCAGGCCCTGAAGATGATCTCAATAAAGATCGAAACGTTGGCACGGTAAAGAAAAGGTTTTTCTGAAACCTGCATCACACCAGACCGCATCTCACGATTTCCGAATAAGTAGCAGATAATATCAATAACGAGCAATGTTACATTATTATATGTTTTATTATATGCTTACCTCTCTGATTTTTCTATTGTTTCAATTTATAGATATTAATGGTAGATATTTCAATGAGTGTTAATGTTCTAGATTACATTAAACTTAAAACCCAACCAAAATATTTTAGAATTTTATCCCTGTCTGATATCACGATGAATTTTATCATTTATTGTTTCAAAACAAATCGAGAACTATTTACTTTTTATGGAGGTTCCCAGATCTTTAAAACTGGTTTGTCTAGTCTTATTAAAACCTAGAATATAAATTGCATCTTACAAGAGGAATAGCCTCAAACAAGAAATAATTATTATAACAACCCGTTGTAACGGGTAACTCTTGATGCCTCTCGGCCAATTTTGTTTCTCTCGAATGATAGAAATGCATTCGATACGTGATCATGGCTCAAATGACTTATAAAAAAAGAAAGTTAGATAGTTCGGCGTTTCGTAGTTTCTTTCATTTTTAGAACTGTTTAACGCAGAAATGACTGGAAATGTGAAAAATTTGAAATATAATTTGGTTGCTTGTGATCATTCTGGTTTGTCAAATGCGTTTTGCCAACTTCTGACACCAAAAAATATAAGGAGACCCGGATGATAGGAAACGGCCAAACTAACCCCTTCGACCCCTAGGATCTGACGATCTGACTGACTGATGGCTTTTCTGTGAAGATTTTTAATTAGGGTAGGCATAATTTTCACAAGGAGTTTTACTAATTTTTACTTTGTTCATGACAAGTCTGACTTCCCTGATGGATATCAGCTGACAGTTTGTATGTTTATTACATGGAGGTCGGCTATATTCTTTGTTTCGTAGTTTCTTTTATTTTTAGAACTGTTGAATGCAGAAATAAATGACTGGAAATGTGAAAAGTTTGAAATTTTGTTTAGTTGCTTGTGATCCTGGTTTGTCAAATGAGTTTTGCTAACTT